AATTCAGAACTGAGACACCTGGCAGATGCTGCCCAGAGAAGGCGTGGGAGCCCCATCCCTGGAGGCATTCAAGGCCAGGTTGGATGGGCTCTACGCAGCCTGAGCTGGTGAGTGGCTGCCTTGTCCATAGCAGTGTTTGGAACTGGATGGTTTTTAAGTCCTTTCCAACCCAAGGCATTCTGCAGTTCTACAACCAATCAGGCACTGCATGTAGCTTGCATCTCCTTGTGCCTTCACATGCCAGAAGTTTTCCTATCCGTTCCTTAAATATAAAACTCTCAGCACCACAGTTACCACAACATTCTTCGCATAAGGTGTCCATGTAGCGTGGTGATGGTAACCGGTAATTGTCAGCCACATTTTAAGTCTCCTTATTCCCCCAACAAAAGCTTTCTAAAAAAGATGACCTTTCTCCTTTGTGTTCAAAAGCACAAAAATCTCATCCATCCCTACAGACATTATAGGAGCAATAAGCAACAAGAACACATAGATATCTACTATCCTACTTATTTTTTCTCCACCCTATCCAAGGGACAGAACTTTCCCTATCACATCCAACACACAGTTATGAGACAGGATTGTAGACATGGATGAGCAGTGTATCACACCTTCACAGGAATTAACTGAAGACCAGAGAAGGAGGAAGAAGTCTGACATTCATGCAATTTAAATCAATAACAGGATCCTCACCAAATACATTTTTCAGAATGCCACTAACATATCTGGACATATAATACTCCCACCTCCCATTCAGTCTCCTCCAGTTCAACAACATACTCACTCTAAACAGAAGCCTTTTGCTCTAGTAAAATAAATTCAAATAACAATTCACTAAAAAAAAAAAAAAAAAAAAACCAGAAAATCATCAAACATCTCATCAACCCATTACACATCCACAATCCCAGACCACGTATCTCCAAAACCAACCTTACTTACCATAAGATAATCCTCAGAAGAGTACAAAACACTTTCCAGTACACCTCCTTAAGCCACAGACTGGCTGCCCATAGTGGCATTTCTCTTTTCTTTCAGTCACTTTTCAGCTGTTTTCAATCATTCCCTTTTAAAGCATCACCAGGTGTGCACAAGGAGCACCTGCACAACTAGTTCAGATACTTTCTCTCTCCAGAGTAGGGTTTCTCACACTCTTCAAGTTGAAAAGCTCCTTTTCCCAGCCCATCTTGAGAGGTGTTCACTTGTAGCAGTATATTTTAGGCAAAACTTTGTGTTCATCAAATATAAGTCAGTATTTAAAAACCAATGACAACTGTTTCTCGTATCTCACAGAGCATCACTTATCCCAGCTGTCATTCAGAGCTCTAGGACTAAGTAATGCCTGTCCTATAGCAAGTATTTGTGAAATCTACCTTGCAGAGGCCATCCTCTGCCCATTTCTGAGCAATGTCCTCTGCTCACGGACGTGATTCTGCAGAGTTGTTAGTGTAATATGGTTCAGTCATGGTTGGACTCAATGATCTTTAATGTCTTTTCCAACCTGAGTGATTCTATGATTCTATCTGGTCCAGGGAAAAAGTTTTAACACTTTCAGGATTTGCACCTGGGAGAGTTGCCAGGACCATAATGTTCATCTTTACCTGCAGTCTGAGATGCTTTGTGCACTCTGAAGGAATTTTGCTGTCCAGTTTCCCCTGTAATCTTCTTGTAGTTTTGCAATAATGCTAAATTTGATGTGAAAGCACTAAGTGTTCACGCTCTAGTGAGGAACAAGGCATCCTACAAAACTATTTAATGCTTCTTGGGGATCAAAGTGAGCCAAAGTGAAATTAATCTACTTTCAGCTTTAACCTGCTTTGATCTTTTTCCTTTTTTTTTCCTAATTGGTGTCTCCAGAGAAGACATTCTTTCCTGCAAAGCAAATACTGTTGTTGTAAAATACAGGTGCTCCCTCAAGTGATTTTCATAAACCACTCCGTATCTTTATATTTTCTTCTATATGAATATGCTTCCTTCCTGTGTGAAAACACATTACAACCTTTAAAGTCAGTAGGGTTCATCAGTCAAACCTCATAGGTACCCAAGGTAGCCAGCGTACTTCTGCTCAACCCCACAGCACTGTGTTTTGCATCCCAGGCTGACCCCAACAAAATGAGTGTGACCATACAAACATGCAGCACTCACACCCACACCACAGCCCTCTGTGTGTACATATCTTAGGAGGGAGGGCTTGGCTGCCAGCTCATCCTCTATTGCTTCCCCAAGCAGTGCTTGAGATGAAGCCCTGATGAACACCACTGGTTGTCTTCTCTCCTGAAGACTTCAGTAGATGCTTTGAGCCCATTCTGTTGAGGTCTCTTTGGAAATTGTGAATGCATGGCTGGTGAGCTGCCTGATTAGGAAGTATGGACTGCAGATGCTCCATAACATCTATGACCACGAGGTGCGTGGAAAAGGACTGCTAGCTCCGAGCCCAAACTTATGATGCCTCACTAAGCTCACCAAGTGTTGTTTCACTCCAAAAGAAGAAAAATGGATTCTTTTCCCCGCACCTTGAGCTAGTGTTGAAACTGCTGCTGATGAATCCAAAGTGATCTCTGCCTGCTGGGATGCAACCACTGAACCACCTGGCCCAACCTGTCACCCAGCCCTGGTGTTAACTCATCTTATCTGCCCTCCGGAAGCATCCCAGGCTTGTGATGGAGGAGAAAGATGATGGGAAGAAATGAAATATCATCCCCTGCTCCTGCTTATCCCAAGCTGAGTGAACATCACCTTGGGGTTTCCTTGGTTCAGAGCCATTGGCATGCTGGAAGGGAGGGGAGAGCACATCTGTCAGACACCTGAGGTGGCTCAGCTGGAGAGATACCAAAAGCACTTCATAAAGGCTCCAGCAGGAGAATGCTTGGTGGGAGCTGGCTCTGTCAATCAGTTGTTATCCAGTGCCTGGGGCTATTGCATTAGTCAGCTAAAATGGGGCTTAATGCTTCCCTAGTTTACACGTGCATGAATTTTCCTAATGTCAATTATGGTTGTATGTTGCCTAACCAAGGGCAGCATTTGGTCCTGGTACAGCATGCCCTGTAATTTATGGCTTTTTTTGCGTTGTGTAAATAACCCAATCAACTGTGTTGTTGGTTGCAAAACATCTTTTCCTGCAATTACCCTGATTGTTTATGCCATGGTGATGTCCTTAGACATTAAGCTGTGTAAAAAGACTGATACACTCCAAAAGTGTAAATGGCAATTAGCTAATTTCATCAGGTGCTGATTAAGATGGAATCTTTGTGACATTTGAACGTTCGTCTTTGCTCTGCTTCCGTCTTGTTGAAGTACTTAGGTCTCAGTTGTTAATAGTAAATCTGTCTGGGGACAACCCAATGGAAATCAGCATATATCTAATATGTCAACATTTAGCTCTCTCATAGAAACGTTTCCTTTGTAGAAAAACTGTAACTAAGAGATTGTCATCTGTAGAATGTTCACCATAAAAGCATCATTAGTGGGTTTACACTTACAGTGTCATGCCTTTGGCATGGAATGGCCTTTAGCTAGAAAACAAGCTACTTGAATGCAAGTAAAGTACTTGCTCAGAACCACAGCCCATGGAAATGGCCTGTCATTCCCTAGTTTGTATATCAAATATATCCTCACCGATGCACCTTTCTGAAATAGTGGTTTCTTGCTTGGTACTGTTCATTTTAAGCTGTCACCAGTGGCACCAGTGCCAAACTGCACTAACAAATACTCTGCTGTGATAAGAGCAGCCTTTCTCAGCAGCACAGACAGAGGCCATCTGGGGCACCTGGTGGACTTCTCACCACTACTTGGCGAGCTGAAAAAAGAAATGTTAAAGAATTCAACCCATGTTTCTGATCGACAAGAATTTATCATGGTGGCAAGTGCAGCTCAGTTAAGTGTGGTGTTATCAACAGTTTGGAAGAGGGGGAAGTGAGTATGAAGATTCAGCAGAGAGCTAACAAGACTGGGAATACCAGAAGGAGCTGTGACCATCATAATGGTTAAGTCATAAACAGAGAGGAAGAGGATGGATTCCAGTTGCAGAAACTGGATCAACCCAGCAATTAGCTGAAGCATTATTTTGAACATTTTAAAGGCTTCAGCATGTATCTGCTGTTAAATACTGATAGGCGTTGCTGAACTTTTCCCTAGGCAGCTCTGCAGACGGTTTGGAAACAGTGAGATGGATGGCACAACCTCTGCCTGTTTCCTGGATGTGCTTTGATTCATGATGGACAGTGAGTCACAGAGAGTGATGGCACACAGAACTGAAGTATTTCTGCATGACTATAAGAAGCTGTAAGTCTTAAATCATAGGCCTACAGTGCTGCTTGCACATTAGAAGACAGTTTACACTGTGTTGCATAGTTATTTGTGCTATATGAAATACTTCTGTTATCTTCATTTCATATGGTGATTAAAATGGCAGCTGCTTTGGGGCTGGTTCCTCAGCCAGTGCTGAGCCTAGACTTAGGAAATACAACCTGTTAAAATAATCTTTAAGGTATTTAAAGACAGCTTCTTATTCTTCTCCATCTCTTCCATTTTAAGCTCCACAGACCACATGTGATGAAAAAAAAAGTAAGATGTCTACTTTTTTTTTGCCATAAGCCAGATGTCACTCAGGTCATGGAAGGTATTTCAGAAATGCTGTGTTTGCCATCTTTCATGTAGAAGTGAGAACTTGAGCCCAGTGCCACTACTGCATCAGGTGTATCCAGCAGTCACGCAGCCTTGGTGTTGGTCTCCCACACTTACCTTCACTGAGGATGATCTGCAGGGCGCTGCTGGAAAGTACCTCAACCTATGCAACTGAGCTGAGCAATTCTTCATTTTTTGCTTCATATGAAAATCTCTGATGATGGCTACGGAGCTCTCTGAAGGGTTTCTGCAGTGCCTGAAGCTAACCCCAGCTCCTTTACACTGTATCACCTCAAACTAGTCTATGCATCCTCATTTTTCTGCATCTTCCATGATACGTCTACAAACAGATATGAAAATCTTCATTTTTTAAAATTTCTCTTTATTTTTACATTCAATGCATGAGGACAGACAAGATGAGTGTTCGTGACGAAGTATAAAGCCATATGCTGTCCCCAAAACAGTAAAAGATAAAACGTGTAAGAGTTTAAAAAAGCATTTTAGAAATCTCGCATTTCCAAAATTCCTCATTGCAGAAAATTCAGATCTTTGTTAGAAAAGTGGAGTTCTGCATCCTTGTGCACAGAGCCATATTATGAAAATACATAGGTGTTTCTCATCTTTATTTTAAGAAATCTGTCTCTGCATTACTAACAATCTTTATGTAACCTATTGGTGGAGCCAACAGCCTCCGTAATACACAGTATGCACAGTTACAAACGATTTTAAAACTTATATTACAAATATACAGTAGTTCCTTTTTACATTTTAAACATCGTGTGGTTTTCAAATACGTATATATAACACAATCACAAGCCTTTTTCTGTATAACTTATGAAAAGTTCTGTACACTCAAATCATTATAAATAAAGTGTAAATAGTTTTTGTTAAGAGTGGGAGGGACGTTTTCCAGGACATGTTGTGCTGTCAAGTGTTAAACAGAAGTCTGTTTTGGAATCTGCCTAAAACAACGGCACAATATGGCCTGAAGTTCACCAGCAAGGAGAGAGGAGGGCACAAACTCGATACATCCTAGGGGAAAGTTAATGAGGAACATGAAGTACTGATATGTCTGACTATAATTTTTACCCTGATTCTTCTGTAAGAGTTGCTTTTCCTCTGATGTTTTGCTGAGTGTTATTATCACTGCTCTTGACAGCTTTACTTCAAGACGCAAAATAAGGTGCATGGTAAGAAATCAGAAAGAGTAGATGGAAATGTTTCTTGTTTCAATGAATGGTCAGTGGAAATTCAAGATACCTTTGAAAGAATTCCGCATTTTTCACATATTTTCTCTTTTTTTTTTTTTTCCCCCCGTCAAAACAGAGCATGGGAAATGGAACTTACAGAAACGCAGAATGTGAAAGAATCCAGAACTGGGAAAATAAAATGAAGAATAATTCCACCTTGAAAATGAAATGCTGACAAATTTCTGTTTGAACTATATGGAGAAAAAGTAAATTTGAAACAGAACAGTTTGGTAGAACTCCGTTCTCTGTTATTAAACCCACTAAGAGCAGAACTGTACCAGAATTAAATTATTTTGAAAATGTACTCTGATGCTAGGCATTTTGTCACTGGCTCATTATTGCAGAAACAGCTGGAATCTCAGCATGAATACAATTTGCAAACATGTTTCAAGCAGCTCAATTTGCTATTTTCAATGCGAGCTTAAAAAAGCAAATGAAAAAATTTTCCCTTTTAAAACATGTACAAATGCAGCCTACTAATCCTAGTTCTGCAGAAAACTACCAACTATTCAGAAGTAAATGTGTTATAGCAGCACTGAGTGGCTATGATAAACTAAGGGTCCTCTCAGTTTTTCCATTACAGATTTAATCTACAAATCAACCATGCAAATCGGCTTTACATGATACTGATTGGCCTACACTCTGCCACATGATCTTTTTTCCATTAGTGGTTGGACCCCAGGTACTATCCCATGCTCACTCATATCGAAGTTATTAAAGGCCAGCAGAAGTACTCAGTGTGTCTTTGAAATGCTCTTTTTCTGACGTTGAAATGATACCTTTTGTCAGCCCATGATTCAGTGCTGTCTCGTAAGCATTTACTAAACAATCAGTAATTTAAGGCCTGAGCACAAGTAGCTTTACACCAAGTGCTATATTACCTCTGGATTGACTACGTGTGCTGTTGACTACACTACCTAGGGATTTTATTTGGAATTTGGATTGCTACATACAATTGCCAATAAAATTCACATTATTTCGAAGGTGGGTGGTTCAGAGCACGCAGTGACCATGCAGAAGGAACACTCATTTCTCACCTGTTAATGCTGCTGCGTGTCCCACTCTAACCATAGTCTGTTCTCCAGGTTCCCTCGTTTGTAGCTCTAAAGCCAGTCTCCACTCCTACATTTAAATGCCATGTTGTGGCTCAGTCCCAAGTTGCAGACAGATCTTGTGGTGTCAGCCTGGAGTTGGGCAGCTCTCTACACGCCTGTGCCAGTCACTTGTCCTCCGTCCTGCACCTTTCTCTAATTGTGCCAGGACAAGTGCTTATGGGATTACTCAGTGGACAGGATGGGGGAGGACCATCTAGAGAGACAGACAGCCATGCAACCACACCCTGAGTCCACAAAGCTCTTTCATAGCCACCCAGTGTCTTCAAACCCAGTGTTTAACTTCAGCAGGCAAAGTGATCAGCAATTAATGTTTGGCCTTTAGCTTGAGACAACAAAAGACAGCAGCTCCCGTTCTTGTGTTAAAAGAGACAAAGAGCTCAAAATGGGCTTATGCATACCCTTATGCCAGACTAGGACTCCCAGAGCTCCTGAGGCATGTCCCAGAATTTCATTTTCCTCCACACAGACAACAGATTTTGTCCATATTTGGAATATTGTTTCCTATTTTGACCACTGAACATAAGCCAATGAAAACATTTGGATTTGTTTTCTTTTTTACTTTTTTTTCTTTTTTCATTTACAGAACCTTTAGGGTATCATAAAGTAACTTCTACTGAATAAGCCAATAGGCCAGAAAGGTTGTCCTACAAGCACATTGTTGGGTTGACTGGTTTTTAATTAATCACGCTCCTTTCATCCCTCTCTTCATAGGACTACATCAAGATTTCTTTTGGTTGCAACTGATAGCATTGGATGAAGGTACCACACAGTAGATGCTCTGTAAGCAAATCTGTCTTTAGCTTTTCAACTGATCGTAGATTTTCTAGGGACTCTGTCAAGCTTGCTTGACTCCATTCCTTGATGAGTGATATATCACTGGCTGCAGGAACCTAACAAAATATTCACTCTGTTCTCAGTGCATTGTTCAAGGTAGTTTTCAAGAGCCTGACTGTCCTATGCTTTACCTCTGCTATTATGGGTTGATCCGCTACTATAAGGCTGTGTTGTTTGTGCCTGTTTTTTCAACACAAGCTGCAGCTGGAGCCCTTCTTACACCTCTTTCTTCATCAGCCATTGTAATGGCGTTTTCATAAACCTCCATAGTTTTTAGCTGATTATCTTTGGCACCCTCCTGTTCTGCATTGACTTTGCAGCACTTGCAGAATCTGCAGCAATGCTTCCCACAAAAGGAGAGTGAAGACATAATCATATTGTCCCAGGGCTCTAGAGAGTGCATCCAGACGGGTAGGAAATCCCAGTTTTGAAGCTTCTCAGGCAGTGAATGTGGCCGCCTTGTCTGCATAATATTAACTACAATCACACCAATAAACAGAGCCAACAGGGGAAGGCAAACACCCAAAAGGACTGGCCAGCCCGCCAGTGACAGACCAAATACAAACAAAGGCAAAAGAAAGAAGCAGATGAGAAGATAAAATATAGCAAACCATCTGTACTTGGCTGTTATGTTTCCCAAGCTCTTGCTCATGCGGATTGGCAGCCGGGTAAAAGGCAGTGGGTAAAACAGGATAATCCCAGAGACATTGAAGAAAAAGTGGCACAAGGCAATCTAAAAGCAAAAAACATTTGAAAAGTTTATTACCTCAAATGACATTAAATAGTCCTACCCACACAGTAATAACTTCCAGTGGTACTGACTTCATAGTTTCCCTTCTCTTGCTCCTCACTTTGATCTTTTCTCGTCTTTGCTTCTACTTTACTGCTAGACCTTCCCTAGCATGAAAAAAGGACTTGGAAATACCTCACACATACTAAAGATCAAAGATGATAAATAGGTCACAGCATCTGAAACAAGGAAACAAGCATCTGAAACAAGAGAAGCCCAACGGAGACAAGATATCTCCCTGCAGATGGAGAAGTTTTAAAATGCAACACTGTAATGAAATAAATTGAGTCTACCACAAATAAAGCTGGTAAAGCAAGCATCAGGATCCTGAGCAAGGAACTTACAGATATTAGTAACCTTCAAAGAGGGTTACCTAAGAGAGTTGTTAGATTTGGGCTCTGAATTCTAAGATGTTGAGATTCAATGCTCTGCAGCCAAGTGGCCAATCCTGCTGGATTTCTGAATGAATTCAATCAGATCAAGCTAAACTTAGGAAAGATTTTACTACATATTGATATGCTAGGAATGCTTAACAGAAGCTTTTTGCTGTAGTAGTTGAAATTAGTACCACATATAGAATCAAGCTCAATGTCCAGGACATATTTTGTTGGGTTTTCACTCAGAAAAGTTGCAGCTTCTAAATAAATTCAAGGAACCATTGGTTTATACTGACCTGTAATGAATACTTTAATGTACTCCCTGGGCTTGCTAAAGCTGCAAGTATAGCTGTTGTGGTTGTGCCAATGTTAGCTCCTAGGGTGAGGGGATAAGAACGCTCAATGCTTATAACACCGATGCCTAGAAGAAAAGAAATGGCATTAAGCAGTTTTAGAATGATAAAGAAGCTAAAATGTGGGGATGAAGAATAAAATACTGACAACTTACCAACAAGAGGTGTAATAGCAGATGTGAAGACAGAACTACTTTGAACAACGAAGGTCATACCAGCCCCTGCAAGCATAGCCAGGTATCCAGCCAGCCAAGTAAAAGGAAATGGGAAATCTAGAAAAATAGAGGGAGGACAATGCCTTTAGAATAACAAAACATTCCATGCAAAATCATATAACAGAGAAAACCCTACTAAGCGTTCTGAATGTATATACACTGTTTACATGTTGTCTAAAAAAAGATTGGAGGTTAGAGTCAGTTCTACCACTTTAATTTGCCCTCTTATTTGTATTCTCTCCAGCTTTCCCCCACTGGACACACTGTGAGATGAATGTTAGCCTAGGTAGACCTTTGTACTGACCCAGGGCAGTATATATGCTGTAATACAATTAGGTACCAGACATGTTTCAACTCAACACCTTCCACCTGTCTAGAGTTTCCTGGTTTTGGCAACCAGGCATTCGCTATGTAGATGGGATCTTCAAAAGGCTCTGAAGACCACCATACTAAAATCATAAGGCTCCTACCTGGTTGCAAGTTGAACATCTAATTATTCATTTGTTACTCTTGCAAATAAAAGCTAATCACACTGATTAGAGAAACTAAGTACAATGGTCCCTTGTAATCTGCAGACTTATGACTTAGCCAAGAGGTCAGGACTTCCTCAGCTGAGATGACACAGAGAGATTCTGAGCAAATCACAAATGAACAGTAATTGGCCACTTTCTACCCAATTATTTTGATTTGGGCAGTGATCTTTGCCCAGGAGAAGACAGAATGGGGACCACTTCGTTTTCTTCCCCATGGCTGCGACCCCTCTCATACAATCAGGTGCACGCCAGGACTGATTTTCACTGGTGCAGGTTCTGAAGTCTCCATTCGGTGGAAAATGGAGAAAAGGCAGCCAAGTGGAAAACCAAACAAAACAAGCACCCTAGTTTGCACACAATGAAAGCAAAAGCGAAAATCACCTGGATAACACAGGGAAAGACAGAAAGTATCAATATGCAGGGCTGCTTATCTTACTGAGGAAGTTGAAGAATGGAACGTGCCAAGTAAAGGAAATTAGATCAAATAATCTCTACGTACATTTGTCAAACTTACTTTAAAAGGAGTGTGCAGATCTTGTGTGCAAGTAGGCAATCATGATCTCAGCATTTCAGTGCTATCTTTTGGGGATGTGAAGATTACATTTCTAACAGCTATTGATTACACATTAGAAAGAGAGCCTGGACTTTAGTCTCTGTTGCTTTTAATCTGCAGTTAAATAGCAAACTGTTCACTAATAAAAATTTTTAAGGAAGAAAATCACATGCTGAGCTGAAGAAATATTTAGAGGCAACATTTCTGGTTTAATATTATTTTCTTGAAACTATTCTGCAATAACAGAACAGAGGATGTCAGTAAATGTACCCAGTGTCCTTGCTGTTACTAAGAACAAGCTTCAGGGGAAGCAGGTAATTACCAGTGTTGATTGTCTTCTTGATAACACTTGCTACTTGTCCTTTAAGCACAGAGTTTAACAGCTTAACGATCATCACCAGACAGGAGCAAAGAACAAGCAGGGACAAAGCCAAAAGTATGAGACCGATGGCAAGATCAGGCAGGTCTGATTCTGTAAAGAGATGCCGGCCTGGAAAAAAAGAAAAGGAGAACAAATCGTCCTAGTCTCTCATTTTTGTTTCTGATCCCAAGGCCAGCTCTGGTTTGCTTGCACAGCCTAAGAAAATGGGATCAGAGCACACATGGCAAAAATTGAAACTGCTATCTCCTTAGCTGCACAAAATTTGTGTCTGAGAGGGGCTCTTACATGACACTTTCATAAAATATATAGCAGGCACATCTGCAGAGCAGGCAAAGTCTGGCTGACCACGTACAGCTTTGTGCATGGAGGGAGAGTACAACAAAATGAGAAAATCGTGATGTGCTCCTAGCTGGGTGATAGGTCAGCAAGAGATGGCTTTGTGCCTGAGAACTGCTGCTGAAATTCCTGAACAGTGCACCTGGATGGAGATATCCAAGCACCTGCTACAGCAAAGTGACTGTAACTGTAGCACCAAGTCACCTGAATAACCAGGGTGACGTGATACTGAAGACCTCATTTACTGATACTAGGGGGCATGGAAAGAGATCCATGTACTGCCAGATACAGTGATGATGCTGGTAACTCCAGCTGAATAACAAAGCACAAGCTGTTCTGACTGCAGCGATAGAAGTATCTTGTGTACACATGCAGGTGAGTGCCTCGATACTCCTCTACAGTGGTCTGTTAACACTGTTAGAACAATATGTATTTCTGTAAAGGTATTATATCAAAGGCAAAATGTTTCTACTACTTACATTTAGTGATGTATTCTGTTTCAGATATGTTTTTCAAGGTCCATGTCACATTTCCTTCTGACCAACAAAGTTCAGGAGACGTGCAGTTCTCTGAAGGTGGAATTGTGACATTCTGCAGTGTCTAAAGATTGCCAGAAAAAGCAGTTGTTTCAGGCAACTAACATTCATTAAGAGCTCATACAAAATTCTAGGGTTTTTTACTGTAACAAAGAATTCCCCAACTAAAGGCAGATTTGTAAGCTGGAGTGTAACTCAATTGTACCCTGTTAATGACATGGCACATTTTCTTCTATTTTCCAAATAAACAGCTGTGCTTTCACTCAAGTTGTTCAGCACAACTTTTAAAGGTGAAAATATTTCCCAAACCTGCTACATCATTTCAACCATAGCACCGTGTTGTCAGGAGCTAAGAAGCTTAATAACTGATTTGAGGGTTCATGGAAAAAAATTCACATCAGGTTGCAGATGCGGGACAAAGGCATTCCTTTCCAGTCAGCGCCACAATTTCCTTGGATCAAAGCAATTTCTACCTCTTTACTGTGAGCTTAACTGCAGTTAATTGACCAGAGGCTGTGGAGTCTCCTCCTTGGAGATCTTCAAAAGCCACCTGAGTGTGCTTCTGGGCGCCCTGCTCAGAGTATCCCTGATGGAGAGGGGTTGGAAAAGATGGTCTCTGACCACCTCATCCATTTGGTGATTCTGTGATTCTGAAATGGTGTGATGAGCATTGCACAGGACTGTGACTCAGACTATCACAATACTAGTGCAGTATCTGCTGCTGAATGAGCATTGGTTGGCCACAACATCCTTGTGAACCTCTGCTTTCACATCTGTAGAAACAGAGATGTAGATGTGCAGCTACTACTTTATTTTCTAAAGCTCAAAGATTCTCTAAGAGCTAATAATTTTCATCATGACTAGTACTAGTACTATTGACTTGAGCCTGAATTTCTCTTTATGAAATACAACCTTGCTTGCAAGAACTCCAGCTGATAGCTCAGATGACACTGAGTCCACAAGTCCTTATGTAGATTAAGAAACTTCCATGACTGAACTGTACTTCCCCATATCAATACAGCTAACAGCAGAATGGACTCTGAACTACACGCTGCCAAACAGGCGTTATCTGTAAGATATGTTGGAGTGATACTGTCTCAGAAATGGGGAAAGAGATCACATCAGATCCTATTTTGTTGCACCATTCACATTCCCCTTCCAGCTGATGCAGAGCAGCCCAGGATGGACAAAGCCAGGGATGGCCCCACCACGTCAGGGAGCACCTAGCCTCCAGCCTACTGAAAACATCACAGTTCTCTGAAATTCTTTCAGAGAATGTGGTATCAAAGCAGCTTCATCAGACTGAAATGTCTGTCCTTATCTTTTGCTTTCAATACATTCTGTATAAATTCCTCCTTGATGTAAATCCATTTGATTATTTTTGCCAGAAATTAATTTAACTTTCTAGGAATGCAAATCAGTTAAATATCTTCCTCTTCCCCAACCAAGCTCAGTTCAAACTTGTAGGGGTTTCGTGTGACTTTGTAATTTGATTGTACATTGGGGCTGTAGTACATAGCCAAAACGCAGACGCCTACAGAAAAATTATCCGTGTTGAAATGCAACCTTCAGCCTATGCTCCCTGTGCCATCACTTGCCTTCTAACAGTGAGAGGACTGCAGGAGGCTCGGGCCCTGCTGAGCTTGCAAGTGCAGCAAACAGGGCAACCAAGAGCTGCCGAAGGATTGGAAGCAGCAGGCCTGCCCCAGTCTCTGCCTTACCTGGGATTAAAGACCCAGAGCTTCCGCAGGGTAACCCGAGCAGAGTTTCACATTAGCATGGCTCTGCTCCTACCACTATCTCCCATAGCTAGCATTTCACTGGCCATCCGGATAGACATTCAATAGGAGCTGGGCTCCTCTGAAAATGCAAGCACTGAATTTTAATCTCTGCTGTGTGTCCTCAAGTATCTTGTGCATTATGACTTCAGGAGTTAGTTTTATATACACATTAACAAATAAAGGTCCAAGATAATGCTTTACTTTTAGTTTAGCTGAACAACACAAATCAAACACAGATCCACGGCCAACCAAAGTACTCGTTGGTGTCACTCTGGGCAACAACTTTCTTCATACTGCAGTGTTACACAGGTGAAGATAAAACGATTTTAGCTCGAGAGACGCTTTGTCTGAGGATAGCTTTTCCAAGAAAGCTGAAGTAACCAACTGCCAGCAGATTACTCTTGCACATATTAAGTCTAGGTGCTCAGATCGGATAGATGAATGGTGGCAAAAAAGAAAGTTTCTTGGTCCTCCATTGCAGCTTTTTGCACTCTCAGGGAGTCGATAAAAGCACCAAGTTTAAAGGTATTTGATTGTGAAAGAAGTGAAAGGCTTGGCCCCAAACCACAAATTCTGATAAGCAGGGCCCTGCATGGTACAGTACCTAAAGCACCCAAGTCAGCTTACCACTGGAATACCATGTTTGGTTTAAGTGATGCAAATGCTAGATTATATTGTGTTCATTCTTCTGCTGCAACAAATACTCATTTAAAAATCTAATTTCACATTAGTATTAGCCAGCTACGGATCAGTAATATCTTTCATAAGGAGCCTGACAACTAATTTAACATAATACTCACCACATTGGTTTCAGTTACGCACCAAATCTTTACCAGGCTTTTGTTTTTTGCTGATTCGTCGTTCGTAGCAATTGCATTTATTACGGATTTATCAAGCTTTAAGGAAAGAACAACAAACAGCATTACTTCAACTTGCATCATACACTTTTGTTCAGCTCGACTCAAATAATAACTTTCATTGGAAACTGAACCATGTAAACCACCCAAGACGATCCCTAACACTGGAGCTGCTGCCCAACAAGGAAGAGGGGCTTTACTGCCAGAGAAGGTTAAATTCTACACCAAATTCTCATTCTCCCCAAATCACCCACACACATATCTCAGCCATTTTATTCAAGCAGCTACACTGACATAACTGCCTAAACATGTTTACTGCCATTTTAGGAGCGGCATGCAATTCATCTGGCCTCCAGCTGCTCCTCCAATGGTGTGTAAGTTTCCCATAATTTATACTATTTCTTCAAGTCTTATGCAGATCTTCCGGACGTGCCAGGTTGCCTCAAGTTGCATTGTCTGCCAGTGCCTATGCAATAGTCTGACACTCCACCCATCCTATGTGTCACCTGCCTTCCCAGCCCTCCTAGTGAGGTCCATCCTCACTAAGGTGAAATGTGGGGGAAATAGAAATGGGAAATATGGAGCTAAGGCTCTCTGTGTAGCAGCTTAATTTAAGACCTAAAAAGCTTACCTCAATGATGAGCTTTGTAAAAGGGTCTGTGATGACTTTTAGTAGCTCAGGGGCATCATCACCGCTTTCAAGATGAAAGGACTCAACTATAACATTGGTGAGATGGTAAAGATAGCCAGAAATGACTTCAATGGGCAACAATGCAAACACAGCAAGCCAGTTAAAGAAATCATGAATTGTTGCCCCAGCAAAGGCCCTAGAAATTAAAAAATAGAACTGCTTTTAATTAAACAATATGTGCACAACTTCCACTTAAATATGAAATCATAGAAGTGGAGATGAAGCCAATCTCAAGACAGGCATTATTTCATTTCTAAGGTCCCAGAAAATGGCAGCTTTATTACAGAGCTCCACATTTTCTCCAAACTGTTAACCAAGCAAAAGAGTCAGCTAAGGTCACTGAAACAAGAAAAAACTAGGAAAGACAAGTGATCCTTAACAGAAGGCTGCTAACAGTACGCAGTTGAAGAGTGGCTGTATAGCCTACATTCATCTTACCTCTCTCCTATTTTTGATATTTTTTTGATCCTGAAACAGGATTTGCCTCCAGGACTTATTCTACCTGACTCATGCAGAAGTGGCTCTTTGCAGCCCTCTCATATGTTCTTGCAAAATGCAATTTTGTCTTCCCAGCTTGTCCTCCACAACCTGAAGAGCCACAACTGTTTCCTCAAGGGCACTCTTTCCCACATTCCTAATAGCTGTTTCCTAATAGCTCTTAGTTCTGTGCAACTTGCCTATATTTGTTTTAAAATATAACTCCTTAAATTAAGCATTGAAAAGGAAGAAAATGTGGAGGAAATATTCCTTGAAATGGTAATCCTGCAATTTACCTTCCAAATTGCTTGAGGGGAAATTAGGTGGAAGGCTCAAAGTAGGACAACAAAAGTATTTAGAGACCAAAGTGGTTGTTAAAGGTTACAATGAAATCAACTTATTTAACCTTTTTTTTTTTTTTACCTGGCCCAAAACAAATGGGCTACTTTGTCACTGGAGTTTAAGTCCAACACAAACAAGGACAGCAAGTCTTGTAGAAGTATGCTTTGGTACTTCGTATGTTCAGTATGTCATAAATGATAAGGTACCAAAGCCCCATATCCCTCCCAAGTTTGCTGCCGTGAACTCTCAATGATAATGCCAAATGGCAGACTTGTTATAACGTGACTGCCAGAACATATCATATTTTCTATGGTTACCATCTTTTGCCTGTTGTAGACTTCCAAAACTTTGAACACTGATGTCTCTCTTAAGTAGAACAATCAAAATAGTGTAATATCAATCTACTAACTCCTATAATTAAGAGGTAAACAAAGGTGGGTGATGTCCTGGAAGCTGTCTGAAACTTTATCCTTGTGTAAGATCCTATTAAAAATGATGGACTTTTATAAAACCACAAAAATTTGAAGGAACAATACGCTTTTCTTCAAGTATGTGAAACCATACACCTAGCTATTCTACTTTGGCCATGGCAGGAATGATGACAGCTTACAATTTGCTATCCTCTGAAAGAAAATCACAGAATTGACTTCTTTACTTCCTTATGACAAAGAAAAAAACAGGATCTTTTTTTTTTTTTTTTTTTTTTTAAATATCTCCATGGAGATTTAGAGGTCATAAAAGTTGCTTTAGAAGTTTGCTTGCAGCTTTCATAACCAGACATTCAACTTCTGGACAATAGAAGGATTGAATGGCTGTAGTAGAAGAAAACTTACTAAGGCAATATAGAAGAAAACTTACTAAGAAGGAAGAAAAGCAGCTTTTCAGATCTAATGTTTAAGTACAATACCTTCTAAATTCATTCCTGTCCCCGGCTTGCATGAGCGCCACAATTGTGTTTGTAACTGAGGTACCAATGTTTGCCCCCATAATGATAGGAATAGCTGATTGTACAGTCAGCACTAGAAAGTAGAAAATGAAGCATTGAATGAAAAAAAATGAGATAATCTCTGAGCTATTTGATCCAGTAAAAATTAACCTATTTAAGGCCACAGGAACAGACTCTCTTCAATGTCACTGGAATAAGGGACTCCATTGCAGATATGTTTGCTTTAACCACGCCCCTCAGGAACATGCCATTCCAACAGTCTCGTGATCCCCACTGTAGTCCCTTATTATCTCTTTTCATCAGACATTTGATGGACAGAGCAACTGTCTCTTCTTCCCCAGGCATAACCCTCTTTCTAAAGAATTTTGAAATGTTGCCAGAAACAAAATTCTGTAACTGGTTAACACAAGAAAGGTATGTGGATACTTCCAAACTTAGTATATTCAATGCCAATGTTTCCAGTGATTTTCACTGCAGTTATGAACATTATTCCACTGTTTTCTGCAGCAAATTAACTTTATCTCTCTCTCTCTCTCTCTCTCTTTTTTTTAACATCAAAGGCATCAGCAGTGAAAGTCTTCCTGCAATCCCTACTCTTAAATTCAATGCTTTTACAACTTCAACACAGGTGGGGACAGTTACATGCTGCACCAAGATTTGTGGGTGATTTCCAGGAAGACACAGCAAGCAGACTTACATGTAGAGGACACCATGCTGACGATAATGGATGAAGAAGTGCTGGAGCTCTGGACCATCACAGTCACCAAAACTCCTATCACCAGCCCCGCAACAGGATTGGAGAGCACTGAATCATCTTTAAAAATGTCCCCTGCTGCTTTACCTACCAAAACATATTCTCAGTGAGAGGAGTACAAGGTGAAGTCAATAGGAATTAGCAGAGCATTTAGTAGAAGACCATGCAACAATTTAACACGATACATATGCATGCATGCTTGCAAGCAGAAAAATGTACAAGGTGATGTAGCCAAAGGATCCAAATTCAGGTTCTGAAGTCTCAGTTTATCAGTTATATGCCTTATATTTTCTCATTTCAGTGACTACACAAGTTCCAGTGAATTCCACAGAAAACCATACAAAACTAGCAAAAGAGTAAAGACTGTAGAGTAAAAAAGCACATATGCACAGATATAAATGCTATTACTGCCTTGATGATTTTTGGTTACCAAATCAAGAAGAGTTGTTTTAATAATTCTGAGTAATACTGTTCCTGTAGCTTTCTAGGTTGCCAAAAATCCAGAAAAAAATTCTAAAAAAGCTCACATATTTATTTGATAGCCACTTCTGAATCCATGAGCCAAATTCAACCCTTAAAGAAAGGTAAATGTAAAATTATATTTCAACAATTTTCATCTTTGAATGACTTAGGGGACATTTCAGTGCTGAATGCTTCTGTCACTAATGTAACAGAGCTTCCTAAGAAATTGAGATCAATCTCTTCATCCACAGCTGTTTGGAAACTTAGAAACAAAGGTCCTTTCACACAGAGGAAGGTCAGTCTTCACGCAGAGATACTTCCTTCTAAACCTACATCTCTACACATAAATCTGTCATATGATCTTTAAGAGTGATACTTGCAATTTAGTGATTCAGATGAGATTTACTGCCCCATTCATAGCCTATTTTTGATACTTTAAATGTATTTTCATACCTCCTACTAGTTGAAAAGCAGAGCTCAGTATATCCAGAGAACACACGAACATGTAGAGTAATCCAAGCAACATAATAAACTTTCCTATTCCATAGAGTACACGAATAATCTTTCCTTTTCTATCCAGTTCTGTAAAACAAATACATTGTGCATAAAGAAACACGTTCATTTATCTACTGTTCTCTCCAGAACAGTTTAGTGCAGAAGAAGAGGCTATGGAGCTAAGTACAGTGTTGTGACTCCTGCATGTAAATAAATCCAAAATTGCTCTTCTTAATCCAAATTTTAACTGCAGAAGCAGACAGTTCATTTATCTAATGAAGTCTTAGACTGGCCCTTAGTTTTACACATTCATCTTACTGAATAAAGAAAGTTCAATATGAGCCTGAAAATAAGATCACACTACTTTTAGATTGTTTTCCATATATCTCCTTGTGCATTAAGGAGGGTAAGCAGTACGGTTTCCAATTCCTTATTAGCAGCCAGAATGTCATATCCCAGCTTCACCACTGGGGAACATGAGACAAAGTGTAAAGTCTACATCTGAAAACTGCTCAAATCCTAAATTCAGACATCAGAAATCACGGAAAAAATAAGTGCACATAACTTATTTACTGAGAAATGTCTACCTGACCACTTGACTCCAGTGTCCTGCAGTTCTGGCAGAGCCCATGGGTCTTCTTCTTCTTGCCTTGTCTCGTCTATCAATGCTATTGTGGAAAATGCAGGTTGAATTTCCACTTTGTTTCCAAGTGAAGCCACGTTCCCTGATGAAACAGAACATTAAAAATGTTTTAATTATTTTATCTCTTCTCCAAGGAGCCTCAAGCATACATATTTCTGTAACCTGCAGGTCAACACAACTTACCTTTGTGATTTTCTCCTTCTTTTCCAGGCACGTTCTGGTTTTGTTTGGAGGAATCACCAATATAGTTATTGGTTTCAGGCTTGTCTACCTCAGGCCAAGGAGCCATGATCTGTGACCAATAAAGTAGAGCTGATTAAAATTTGTGTGCAGTCAACAAATACAGCTTACAACAAGGTATGTGAAAAACATGATTAAAAGAGATGGAATGGAAGCAACTTGTCTTCGAACACACATTTTTACTAATCTTTCTGAATTATTCCTTTATTTGTGAAATTGATATCTTAATTAATTTTGAAATCACACTGTTGATTTCATTTGCACAATTTACAAAATTTTATACATATGTATGTCTGAATTTTTGTTCACTTTCAACTTGCATCAAAGCCAAGTTTTCTCTTGGCTTAACCTTGCAAACCTTAAGCATTTCTCTAACTCATTTTATCTTCCTTCAGCAAAAAGCTTTACTTGCTTCCATCTTCAGGTTTTGACATATTACCAAACTGGTAATTCATTCTTCCCCTACTCTGGGTGGTCAAATATGCTTAAAAAAAAAACTTCTTGATGATTTTTTGATTGATCTTGAAGCCTTTACTGGTTCATTCCTATGGAAGGGTGGATGGCAAAGTGATCCTGGACAATTTGAAGGAAGACCCAAGCTCCAGAAGCTCCAGAGCAATCTCTGCTGAAGGACCAGACAAGAGCATCATCGAATAGCAGTGGCCATTTTCAGGACTGTATTTGCAGGACTGTATTTGCAGCTTCAGTTTCAGTCAGCTCATCCAGGCTTTATTTGTGAACCGCTTCCTTTCTAACCCATTTTTAAGTCAAGCATTTAGAATTCATTGTAATATTGTCCAATAATCAAATATAATCAAAATAAGAAATCACGTGGCCAAATCCTGCTGGTCTAAGTGAAAGCAGAGTTACAAGAACATGCGGCAGTCCAAGGCCAGGCAAAATCTCAGGAGGCAGATGTTTCTTGCACCAAAACTTGGAAGATTCAAACCATTTACTTCAGCAACGCAGGGAGCCAGAGAGGGGCAAGGTGATCACAGGGCTCCTAGCGATACATGATAATATTTTCATGCTCCCAGGCTTTTCCCTACACAGAAAAGTCTCACCACAGGACCTGTTTCTTCCACCACCATACCTGCTGGTTGCCATGTCTTGCACCCACATGGCTGAAACAAAGGTGAGCACATTTGCCTGCAACATTCCCTGATAAACAAAGCACCTGCCCCCAACCTTCAAGGGCAGGTGTCCATATCATACACCCATAAACAAGGCTCGGCTGTGGTTAGCAGCCACTCTTGGGGAGTATAATTAATCATTTGTTTAATCACAATCATTTTGGTAGCTGATGTTTTGTCCCTGCCCATGTTAACAGCCACACATCCCTACTCCTACAGCTGGGAAGGAAAAGGCACAGACAACACTAACAATATACCACTGTAGCAAGTTACTGTTTTCTGCCACTTCCCATGTTAAGAATTTCTACCCTTCCACATTAGCAAGAAGGGTAGTAAAAGATCATTAGCAAAATATATACTTTTGCACATTTGTTATCAGTGGCATGAGATCCAGCGCAGTTCCTAAGACACGCCAAGATCTCAGAATAAATGGAGGAAAATTGCTTTTGCTTGTTTCAACAAGGTTTTTCATCTGCTTGGAGCAAATTCTGGTATTTTCATCCATGCCAGAACAACCTCCAAGCCCCACCTGTGCCAGAACACCTCAGTCTTGTCAAACAAGTTTTAGTCATACACATTCAGCATTCAAAGAGCTATGAAGAAGTGTAACTGCTCAGCACAAATGCTCCTTAAGTGAAATGCAATCATGAAAATGCATTGGAAAATCAGGTACAAAGTTGTATTGCCAACGTACTCCTTGCCACGGAGTAATACAGGATATACTAAATAGCACCAGTCCAGGAGGTCATCAGTATTTTTACAGCTCTTTTGATAATGGAAATGAAAGATTCAGCCTGCATGACTGGAGTATGGAAACTGAATTGATGCATTTGTTACAGAAACTGGAGCTTGAAAATTTTGGCAGAAAAGCAACCTGTGGTTCTCCTACATAAACTCTTCCAGCTCAAGAATTCAGCACGGCATCTTAATAAACATCACTCATGTTCCTGAGGTGCTCAGGATCCCACAGGTACGTCATGTATTATTATTGTTTTTGCTTTATATGATTAAATACACTAGAATGAGAATTGAGCACTTCTGTGGTACAAGTTTTTTTATAATTATGTTTATATAATTATTCATATAAGTCCTGGTCAACCTCAGATTCGTTAAGGTAGACTTGAGTACTGGACACCCTAACAGTATTTGCCTTGTGCGGCTGGGCATGCAGTGGTGTTCCTTGAACCCAATTCCACACAACTGCTATCAGGATGGACAGAAGCATACCTACACAGACCTGCAGTGCCACCCAGACTGTTAGCTTTCTCCAGATCCCAGGTATTGTTAAACAAAATGGCAGAGAAGATAACTTATAGCTGATAACTTACACCTGATACTGCAGTTGTCAGAGTCCTGGCCACAGCAATTTACTGTTAATTGATTGCTGCACTACAAGGATGCAATTTTCCCTTCAAACAACTCTTTCTTGACCTCAATACAAATGTCAATATCTTGAGAAAAACATACAGAAGACAACCCAGATGTTGTGGAGGAGCAGAGAGTGACGGGGCTGCCCACATCGCTCCCAGTCCCTTGGATTAGTTGACGTCAGTCCCAGCACCATTGTACACTATGAAAACACCAATAGTTGTTTCCTCTTGAGCAGTGATGACAACTGTGAAGGAACATGTTAGAGAATGTGTAGAGGACAGGCCTGTGCCCACACAGGCTGCCAGGAGGAGCTCAGCTAGGCCCTGGTACAGGCTGGTTACGCTGCTCAGTGCTGTGCTGAAACAGGAGCCTGATTTCACCCGAAAGTGGCAGGTCACAGCGCACTATGCATATTGCAAAGGGCTGAAAGCTAACGCCATGAGGCTGTAACCCAGCCTGTGCCAGCAAGCCGTGCGGCAAAGCCTCTCACACCACGGCACAGCAGGTATAGTCTTTCCTCTCCTTCGGAAAATGCTAACTGTATATGACGTCCTTTCTGGCTGCAAAGGAAACTGAAACCTCCTGCTCCTCAGGGGGAGATCAGCATAAACGGAGGGAACAAATGCTGCAAGAAAACGTGAGAGGTATGAAGTCAGAGCCATGTTCTCTCCCTTACTGCTGCATGTCAGAGTTGAAGTCCAGGGAAGGACAAGAGCGACGCTTGGCGTCACGCAGCGCCCGCACTGCCGTCCCCAGCCACTGCACAGCTGTAACAGTGCTGCTGCTGCTGCTGTACGGCTCTGTGCCAGTGCTATTCTGTCTTAAAGCAGCAACAGCGACAAATCTGTTTATTTTGTTGGGCTTAACACAGAAAATATGAAGTTCCATTTGCACATGCCTGGACGGTATTGTTTGTACCTCTCCACCCGTGACCATCCACTCAAAGGGCAGGTTGTGCCCACGTGAGAACTACAGAGCTGTGAGCCTGGAACACATCTCACCTACGGGAACAGACCCAACAAAATCAGGTTTTTCTGGGGAAATAAAAAATCCCCAGATTGCTTAAGCAGCTCCAAATCAAGCTTTGGCTTCAGCGAGACTCTCCACACTTCTCTCCCAGCATTCCCACAAGCACGTACCACTTTTTGCCATCCAGACCATGTTGCAGTTTATTTAGGCATTTACCAGCTAATCTAAGATCCAACTGTATAATTTAGTAAAGATTATATGCAACACATATTTCATAGCAGTAAATACACAGCTAAACAGCAATCCTTCTAATGTACAGTTGGAAGAAATACAGCTTTTCCTCAAAATGTATCATCTCAGACAGAGAAGCAAATCATATTGAGAGGGGGAGGGAAAGACCTTAGCCAGCACAAATTAATTTAGTTTCTTTACATTACTTGACAGTTGTACCCTAATGCCCATTGCAGCCACAAAGCCCCAAGTGCAGCAGAAGAGAAAATTGGGTAAATAAATGTCAGATAGAATCCAGCCTCAGAGCAAACCTCATCTCTGCCCTGGCACCTCCTTGGGGCTTTCTCTCTGAATAAGACAGCAGGCTCAGCCACTGTGTGAGTTTTCAACTAATGTAGCAGCAAATGAGAAAAAAAAGGATGTGTGAAAGCTGGAAAAAAAGTCAGCATTGTACTCACTGCTCTATTCCTATGCATCTCTGACTCTTTTTTTCTCATATCTAATACATGGCAAAGCTAAAAAATAGATAAAACTAAGAAGAAAACTGATGTCTAAGCTACTGCAGAGAGAAAATAAATCCCAAACACTAGTTTTAGCATTCACAACCGGCAAAGCACCAAACAATGCCACTTAAGAGCCAGAATGGAGAAACTTCAGTGACCTGCTTGTAAAGCCCAGGAGGTATTTATTTAAATCAAACAATTCCTTTTTCTAGAATAAAGCAACAACAACAAAAAAATGTCCCCAGCAATAAGGAAACCCAACAAATTACCCCATCCCAAAGACAAAAACACACAGCAAAGATTGGAGAGGAAAGAATAATGACATTAAAAAGACTTACTGATCTAATGGAAGAGCTGCTAATAAAAGTTACTGAGAAACCAGCTGATTTCTGTCTACTGTCACATTAGTTGAGCTAACTGCATTAGACTAATGTATTCCTTCTACCCCAGTGTATCAAACTGAATTAGCATAAGAAAATGTTTCCGTGGAGAATAGCCTGGCCCTGCCGTAGTGCTGCACACACTGCGGCTATCTGCTCCAGCACATGGACCGACAGTATTTCATTCCAATGTTTCATTAATCATATCGCGGGCATTTTCCAGTATCCAGTACCACCATGACTTAAAATCTCACCACTTTTCAATCCAAATAATACTGAAAACAATAACATCTTATCTTATAGGCAGTTGTTACTTGTGTTTTTGTTGGTTTTGCTAGTGACAGCTGCAAATACACTGGGTCTTTTCCTGTGATATTTTAAATAGCAACTAGTTACTTGCAAACAAAAAGAAGCAAAGTTTGTTTTTAGAATTACAGTTTGTTATTGCTTCCTTAAAATATAAATGCAGTGAAGCACACAAGCTGAAAATGCTACCAACCGGGTGACATTTCACACGCCCCTCCTGCTCCCTACATTAGCTCTCTGCTGCCTTTTTCTTGAGCTGTGAAAGCAGAGCTGTTGATTTATAAGCTAATTAAGTTTAAAATTTTGGGGGGAGGGGGGAAAGAAGAAGAAGAAAGAAAGAAAACGAAATAAAAACCACAGCACTCCTTGTTCTTAGTTGGCTTTACTTACCACTTCTTTCTCCCCAGGCAACAGAGCGAACGGACCAACTGGGCAGCCACTGCAACCTGCAATATATATAGACAGGTGTTGAGCAAAGTTTGCTTTCATCATTACGCAGTAACATTTTTACAGTCCGAAGGCAGTGCCTACCTCAGTAATCACGATCAACCCTTTTTCAAAAGGAGTGGGCAGCAACCGAGAGTGATAAAACTACAGGCTATTTCACACTTATCACATTCTAAAAAACGTCCCATCAGCACTTAAGTAAGAGTTACTAATGTGTTCATGTGAGTGCTATGGGACGGTTTGTTCCAGCCGGGGAAATTGCAGTCTGCCTGATCACTCAGTAATCTTTTTTCCAATAGTAATTTTCAAACAATATTTTGCAATCTCAGAAGTCTGTCAGAAGGATGCAGAGAAGTGGCAGTACTGTTATTTGCCTGTTCGGGTGCCTATTAATCTGCCTAAGAACAGAAGTGAAGAGGAATCAGATAAAACGTGGTGTAAGTAGGAAACACGTAAGAACTTCTTTGAGAACAGAGGATGAAATTTCCTTCTTATCAGTGCTCCGTGTTTACGATTAAGGAGAGTTCATTAGCATTTTGGCTATGGTTCTCATTATAAATGAGTTAAAGTTGTGAGGACACCTTTGATAACTGCGTTCGGAGCACTATCAAGGAAGATTACAGTAAAGAGATATGTTACCCAATAAATACAGTAAGCTATTACCAAGAAGGCACAAATCAGTATTTTACTGATGATTTTAATGGGGAACTTGAGGGGCTATCTCAGGCACCATAGCTTTATTTTCTTTGAATTTTTACTTTTTCAGCAGGCAATCTGTATTGAGAAAGTAAGCTGTAAAGCAGCAACTGAATCAGCAGGTCTGCTTCGTCTGTACATATGCAGTGCTATTTCCTTGCAGCTCAGTGACTCAGTAACTCAGCGAGAAAAATAAAACTCTTGCTTTTTGCACCTTTCAACATAATAGACACCCAGCCTTTGGGGCTGGGGGCCAGAACCTGCTCCTCACCTTCATCGGTCTCAGGAATGTTTAGTATGTGTAAGTGGTGGCTGCAAAGCCTCCAAGCCCCATCTTCAGAATCGCCAAGCACCTGCTGGTGTAAAGCTAACCGCTGCCTTTACCCTGATTACAGGTGATGTTGGAGCCCACGGGGACTTGAAAATAGCCTGAAGTGGGGAAGAAGTGCTAGGAAATGGCATCAAGGTCCATTTTCAGAGGCTCCGTTCTTTTAACAAAACTGTCCTTTAACACTGCCTATAAAAATAGTTGTTTGTGATTGATGACCTCCACCTCAGAAGTAGCTGAAACTTTTGACTGGGAATCCTTCTAATTCTGTAAGCTGTGGTTTATTCTCCTCTGAGTCACTGTTTGTGAAACCCAGCTCTGACGGTGAGAAGTGACGAGATGCTCACCTTTGCAGTGCCAGGCTGGGACTCATTCATGTGTGATGACGTCTTAAGACAGGATTTTTATTCCGAGGCTGTTCATTTGCTAAGCACAATATTATGCACTGACCACGTTAATGTTTTAGGCTGGGATCAGACTCATCATGTTTCCAAAAAAATTTTGAAAGAAAAACCTAGTCACTTATGGAGAGGCAGGCAACGCAGGGTCTGCCTCTGGCAGCCTGGGGCTGGTTTTCTCCATAAGGAGTCTCAAGGCATGAAGGAGGGTGTTCATTGACAGGAGCCTTTGCCTCATTCAGGATCAAAGGAGAAGAGGATTAAACACTTCACAAGATACCAAGCCGTGAGAGCTATAGCCCAATGCACTAAATTTTCATTCTTCAGGAACAGATTCAAGAGATGATGCTACTGAAGACCAATTTAATTCTTTTTTTCCCCTTCTAGAGGCCACAGACCTTATACCAAAAAACACTCCTGGATAGAGAATGTTTTCTAGAACAAAACATTCAAGTAAATGTCAAGAGTTATTACTTCCTATTACAAAGGTGCTAAATTACTCTGCAGTTTCTTGGAATCAACCTACACCAGCCTAAAACTCACCAGAGATAGTATGGGTTATAGGAGGTGCAAGCACAGGTAACATCTCAAACAGAGCACAAGAAAAAATTCCTGGCACGTGCAAATCCAGCATGAGCTGAACTCTGTCCAGGTGCTGTTCTGTTTTGCAGGAAGCCATCACACAGGAGGGAAATGTGCCTGCAAAACAGGTATCATCTCTGCAAGTTCTCTTACGGTTTTCCCAAACAAATGGGAAATTTGCTGGCAAGGGGTTGACCCTGTACATCTTTAAAACCCAGGCCTTAGCATAGAAAACCACTGTACCTAATAACATACCTCATAACAAAATACCTCATAACAAAATTTAAATAATTAAAGGCAAGTAACATAAATGATCATCCCATCCTGCAAAGGTATCAAGGTATCAGAGTAGCTGAAGATGTGTTTTCAAGAACAACAAAATTCACATGATCGAGTCTACTCTTCTAGTAGACACAGCTTAAGAAGACAGCAGGCATGATCAAGAGAGAAAATGTTCATCCGACACTTTAATTTTCAATGTTCCATAAACTCAAAGAATGTAGAGCTAAACACCAGATCTTTGACACGTTGAGACAGAAGGAAACAACTGTATGGCTTTTTACTGAAGAGTGGTATTACTTCCAGCATTTGGAAACAACATTGTACATTTTAACTTGTTTTGAAACCTTGAACAAATGTAGCCATCTGTATTTGGGAACTGCATTAGTTTAAATCAGTCTTTCCTCTTGCAGGTCCGTAAAGACACAAAGCATTAAAAAGAGATCAGTGCAGACTTAAAGACAAATTACAACTGCAACAGTTATTTAGCTAAGGACTTAGCCCTAGTCAGCTGAGGAGAACATTCTTGCATGGTGCAGTTACTGAAAAGAGTTCAAGCCCTGGTTTTCTCTATTGTCTGAAATGTATTTGACATGTAAACATCTTAACAATGCAGTTTGTTAATGAAAAAGCACAGTCAGATATGCACTGTGATTATGAAATTCCACATTGATGTACAGCTGGGATCAATATTTGCAGCAGACTCTTTCCCTGGTGTTATATAGGATGCCCCATTCTTTTTGTTAAAGAACGTTCATAAATGCTAAAACTTTGCAGTTGATTAACACACTTATATCCCATTAGGAAGTGTAAATTTGTCTTTGAGACTTCGGTGTCTACCAGGAAGTCATCTGGTGGGTGTAGATGCATTCCTGAGAATTTTTGCCCAGTGTTTCTACAATAGTCAGAGATAATAAAGAACTCCTGACTACTATGACAGCAATAAGAAAGCTCTTGATTCAACATATAAAGAGTTTGAAACCTATCGCAAGGTTATGAATTACAATACTGTATAGTTTGTTGTCTCTCACATCAATGATAGGTAAAATAATTAATGGAGATACTGTAGTTAGCATATTTCTGGAGCTGAATAGCAAGTAGAGTCATAAAGAAATCACATTCAACAGAGTCAGTGCCAGGAATGGGTGAGAGAAACAAAATGTGAAGGAGTCACAAAAACTACAGGAAGGGCTTTCATAAATTAAAGGGGAAATAAATATTTCAACACACGAACAGTTCTTACAAAGGACTAATATGTCCAACAGCTTTAGACAGATAGATATTTTTGAAAGGAAAGAGGGACTTGGTTTTCTAATAATTGAGCAGCCCCTCCACTATAGAACCAGTTTATTCTCATTACAACCATGCTTCAAATGTTTTCATCAGTACCAACGCCTCACTGGGGCAAAAGTTAGTGGGGTTTGTGGTTTGCATCCTACATGATAGCAGGTTTCTCCATAAAGGACACACACATGACAATTTTTTTTTTTTTCTTCTTGGAGACCCTAAATATGTCCTACCCACTACAGGGGAAGCAAAAGAGCAAACAAAAATGTACCCACGATGCAACGTGCAAAATAGCACCAGTGCAAGCCTGAACGTGATTTCAATCAGAACTCATAAAATATGAATTGTGTCACTTTGAAGATGAAAACCCAGACACTGCTACAATATATTTTTATCACAACTGCTCTCAACTTTGATCATTTGTCTTGAATGTTTAACTAAAAGATTTGAGAAAAAAAACAGGTCCAAAATGAAGATCTGCTGAATTCTCCAGGGTAAGAAATTTTTAATCACAAAAGAAATCCAATATGATTCCCCTCTTGCTAACCCCTCCTTACCTATTTTATAGTCTAATTCCCACCGCATAGCCCCTTCGCCTTCCTCCTCTGGTTCTCTCTCTCAGTTAATCTTATGTTCCACATCCGGCTACTGCCTCCCATTTTGGACACATATTAATGAATGCAAATAGCATCTTCCCACTAGCAAGTAATGGGGAGGAGGAAGAAGAGAAGAAGTGAAGAGAAATGTGAGAGCTCTTAAATAAATAATAATATTTACACTCTTATGTAAACCTTAATTTACAGATCTCAAAGTGCTTCGGGAAAGTAGGTATTGTTAGCTTCTTTATTATTCAAAGACAGTTCAAAGACTTTTTTTTTAAATCCATTGTTTTCCTCCTACACAATTTGTTAACCCTTGGCTGACACTGGGCACGGTGTTGCCGGTAGCAGAATAAGCAAGTATAATTACCAGGCAGCCAGCTAAGCGTGTTCACACTGCAGGGAGGACTCCTCTCACGTTCCCAACCTGTACACTTCTGCTGCCCGTGAGCTGGCCAGTTTGCTGGCCTCCACACATCACGCTTGACATTTACCATTGCCACACTTATTTGTCTTCTACCTAAATGACACGCCAAATCAAAAGGCTGATTTGATGATGACTTTACTGAAAGAATCTCCCACAGAAATACTACTCTTTCAAAGAGTAAATGAGTATTAATTCCACATAGAATTGCACATTTGAAATGAAGCATTAAATACCTCGAATTCTAGTGTAGAAACCAAAATTGACGTTTGTTACTTATTGCAAAATCCTTGGCAGTATCTCCTTTCAAAGTTTTCATCCCTGAGATGGCTTTTAGATAATTCTGTCTAAACTCAGATCTCCAGAGGATATCCATTGCCATAAGGTGAGAGAATAAATTTCTTCTCTATAACCTTATTTCCCATACAATTAATTATCCTATAACATGCTAATCTTGTACATATCTTTAAACAAAATCTGAAAAATTAACAGTAAAATTAAACTTTCTGTCATTTTATGCATCTCTGAGGGAGTAACTTTCCTTAAGATAAAGTTTCTGAGCATTAGCAGTTTGTGATTATCAACTAACACTTCTGTCAGAATAATGAGTAAAGGATCTCAGGTCAAATTGTTCAAAGAACCCCATGCAAGGAAAGACCTTCTTGGAGTGAGTACAGTAGCAGTTTTCTTGTCGTATTCAACAAATGGATTTTGATGCGTAGCTGCAAGATTGTACAATTAGGAGATTTCTCTGTGCCACACACCAGAAAAAAATTCTCTTTCTGTCACAGCAATCCATTCCACATAAACTATTTTGATCAAATTCAGCTATTGCCTATGAAAAGTGTGGGTGTTTTTGGAGGGTTTTATTCCAGTGAGCATGGCACTCTGCATGGCACAGGAATCAAACCCACTTTCTTGCAGCTTAAATTGGATGTCAGTCTTCAGCCTTCACAAAAAAATTACATACAGAGAAATGTAATTTTTTGTTCTGTTTGTTTTAAACATAATTCTATTCTCATGGACTTTATGTAGACTTCAGGTGCATACGTATTTAAGATGTATTTAGTAAGAGGAGCCACTAGAATAAGGCCACCTCCACTGTTTATGGCATGGCATCTTGACAACATTTAAAAATAATAATCTACTAAAGATCACAGTTCCTACTGCTTTAGAAAAACTTGCATACACTTATCTACACGCATGTAAGGCATCATATTGGCTTGTTCATACATTTACACAAATATTCCTTCAACTTTTTAAAAGGGCATTAAAGGGTTAACGTGACCAATGTTTGTGTTTTCCAAAGGAAGTCTTCCACCAATGTGGGGACACACAAAGCAGAGATTTATTGACTAAATCTCTGAACTTTGGGCTCAATATTTATTGGCAGAAGGAGGCTTTCAGCAGTGAGGCAGGGAAATGTAACCAAGGAAGTTAAAAATGAAATCAAAGCAAAATGTTCTCTGTTGTGTTGTTTAGGCAACTCCATCTTCAACTTTCTTTCCTAATGCAAACTTTGGCTTGACATTCAAACCAAAAGTAGTAGTACTGCAGTTCTAATTGATATTAGCTATTACTCGTAAAATGATTGTGAACAATTCCACTATATAGGAAAATATAATTTTATATCTCTAAAACAGATAAATTGGTAAACCTGAGTATATAATTGGTTTGCTCTATAAAGGTTCCTCAAAAACCAAACATAACCCCAATGCTATGCTTATTGACGAGCTTAAATTTTCTGGCATCATATGACCTAATTAAGCAGTTGATTTCAGTATTGATAAATATCATTCTTTAGATGCACAGTCTTCATAATCATTACTTGGTTCATATACTTTCATTTAAAATGTTGCAGTATCAATATAATGACAATAACACAAAACTAAGACTTCCATTTCTCTAAAAATAAGTGCTTCTTTGTAACATGTATGAAATAGTGCAGCAAGAAGACAATAATTGCTTCTTTACTGCACTGGAAGGACTTTTTCTTTCAGCCGGAGGTATCAAGTGTCATTTTGCATTTATTAAGATTTAAACAGTCTTCTCTGTTACAGACAATGCGTAACTCAAGACTTACAGTGTTGTAAAGCTGTAACTTTATGCTAATTTCAATAAATTATGTAAAGCCCATTTACAAATATGTTACGTGCTGTCCTTGATCCCCATGCCATGATCTGATTGGCCTGCTATCCATTTAACAGCTGGCTCTCCAAGTGCCTCATAGGCTGTTACAGTTACGAGAAATATGACTTTATCAGTCTTCTCCAAAAACCTTGAAGTTACACATCAAGATTTTTCACATACCATCTACAATATTAGCATTTCATGTCAATGTTATATGAGTTTAAAAACATCCGCAGAGCTTTTTCATTTGAAAAATATTAGTGAGTAAAAGAGAGAGAAATATAGACATTAAAATAGAGTCATTTTCAAAAGGACATGTTGGAGCAACTCAGAATAGAGGAAGGGAGGAGCTGTGTGCTTGCCGTGCCAGGCTGCAGCCCCAGAAGTGCTGCAAGAAAAGTTAATCTCCCTGGTCCTACAAAGGTTCCAGTGCACCCTGCAACAAGTATGCAAAGAACTAAGGGCAGCTCAGCATCCCTTTCTAGAGGAAAGCCATGGGGTATCTTTGGGAACACGTGGGTATTTCTTTTGAACTAGTAAACAGTGTGAGGAAGTACAAGCACTCAGAGGAATGCTGGAAAATGTGGAAAATGGGAACATGGAGAACCGTCAACTCGTAGAAGCAGTTAATATAAGTGCTGTTACCAGCTGTACCAGCCCTTTCATGTCTATGATACATCTCATGCACTTACCTGGAAAAATTAAGTACTCTGACACAGTAGAAAATTAGAGGCATATAGAACAGTTTCCAGTTTCTTTGACGTATTCTGTAAAGAAAATACATAAGGCTAATTATTTGCAATAGCAACATAACAACTGATGTGTGCAGAGCATATTTCACATTAAAAGGAATTCTTATGTTACAGCATGCTGAAGATATAGGATTAAGAGAGACACAACTGGTGAAGAGAAACTCCTGATATACAAGTTACTGTTACCTGGAATAGATGTCACACCACAGGCGATCCACCAGTACTTCCCTATTTTGTAGTTTCTATCTTAAACTTTCTAGATTTTACATGGTCCCGAGTTTAAAATTGTTCATAGAAAGAGAATCTAGGGAAATACTCATTTTAAACAACCCTATCTAAGAACCTGAAAGTGTTTTCTTAAAATAAGTGGTTTAGTAATAGTATGCATGCTGGTGAACAGAAGATGGCCAAGTTGAGAAAGCTGAAAAACGTTCAGAATTTGGCACCTCTCAGTGAGGTGACAGGTTCAAGTAGTGCCTACCCATGGAGCAGTTCCCCCTGACAATGGGATGCCCTCTTGGTCACCTGGTCCAGCTGCTCTTGGGCATCCCAGCCTATATTGTCACCATTTGAAGTAATGCTTGGGCTTAAACAAGAGGTAAGGAAATGGTAGAATCCCTAACAAGCCTCAGAACACATCTATGTCATAACCATCATTGTATCTGTCCCCTCTACAGACACCCGCCTCCTGCACCGGGACAGGACAGTAAGCACCCACAATTGGACCATCTTCTGGGAGTAATCTGGGGTTCATACCTCAGCAATGAGGAAGAGCTGGCAGGGCTGGGGAATGGCACAATAATTCCATTAGGCCCCATAAATTGCATATTTGGCAGCTTCGCTATTACTTGCAAGGTCATACACGCATAGAGGCAGGAAAGGAACATGAGGGCTGTAGTGCTCTTGCGGAAGTCTGAGTTGTTAATGTATAAGCTGATCCTCACTCAAGGCCACCAGCCAATCCATCTGTGCTGTAATTTCCTGCCACATAATGCTGTTGTTCACCCACTCTAGTGAACAGGATAGACCTGAAAACCTCACTGGCCCCAAAGAGTTTACAACTTGCCAGAGGAAAGGAAAACCGCAGTTCCGGATGTTCAGAGCATACCATGCTGATGCTTTGTCTATGCCATAGATCCCAGTGATACAGTAAAACTATTCACAAATAAGGAAATGCATCTTTTTTTGTGAACTTTGGATTGCAAGGATTGCTAGAAATGTTTGTAGGATATAGCTCCACTTTTTCTTTATTTATTTCTCTTCTGCTTCAGAAAGACCTGAATTCTAAGGTCACTTCTGCCACAGCATTAATTCTGCCACGTGGCCTTGGTTAGATATTCATAAAGTTTAAATGTGACATTAGTGCACCATTGGAGTTTCTAGTGGTTGGAAGGTGCCTCTTCCAGTGTTAAAGGACAGCACAGATAATTATTGTCGAGATAAACTGTTCTATCTAGGCTTACATCTCCACCTAACACAGATAACAGTTTACTGCTAATATTCTTGATGTCCACTCCTTTTTATTATCACATTTAGACTGATTTACAGGATTACAGTCCTCAGGAATTTTTGGTAGTACACAGTGAACTGACATTACATACTGACTTACTGACATACATCCATCAGGTAGTCCTTCATCATATCTCGGTTCTCACGCTAATACTTTTCCCGTGGAATGAAATAGTATTTCCTTTTTGAGGATATATTCAAAGTTTCACAAGAACCTGGATAAAGAATTCAGCAGGCTTAAAAAATAAATGTTGTTTGTACCCCCTTCCCTCCCCCCCCCCCAAAAAAAAAGTTGTAGTTGAGCACAAACTACCTGCATTTCACTTCCATCTGTCTTTATATGTTAATAACTCTTGTCCTTTATATTGCTCTGAGGCCTACCACTAGCTAACCTGCACAGTACTCTCTTTTCCCCCTCAAATATGCAACATGAACATTTCAATTTATAGAAAACACAGATAGCCACATAACTGAATGTCTTCTGGTGATAAAGTCTGAAACCATTTGAGCAACACCTGACAAATATACTTAGCCATGGAATAACTCCTCCTGCACTAGGTATACAAGCAAAGGCTACAGTAGCCACTACTTAAACTACACCTATCATCCCCACAACCAGAAATGTTGTATGGAGGATTCATTCTGCTTTACTCTTGTTGACAGATGCCTTTTGATGTTTAGGCTTTTGCACTTAAATTTGTTTTTTAAAATTCCTTTATTCTCTCCCATTATGTAGATCTTGGAGGTAAGTACTGCCTTGTGGAGCACTGCATCACCTCAGCTGCTGTTAAAACACATAATAAAATATAAGAACACAATGTCCAGGGTTGCATGTGGGGTATGTAAACTCACTGGAAAAACTCTTATTTGCCATATACAAAGTGATACAGACAAAGCAATGTGCAAAAAATGTCTGAGAAACAAAATGGGGGACGCTTTTGGTCATTACTGTAAATAATACTTTCCTACCTGACAGCAGAGAGATTTTATCTAGTGTGTCATTCACTGCAGCTGCCATAGTGTTCATGTGGTGCCAAGTCACATAACTCACACCTTTTAAGAAGTACCTGCTCAGTCTGATACTGCTGCTCACAGCCAAAGGCATGGACAAACACGGCCAACTTAGGATGGTGGCTAAACATGTGGTGGTCAGCCTCCTCTGTTCACTGTTAGATAAATAGGCCAGGACAGAAGAAGCCTCTGAAGAGCAGGGAACCACTTCATAGCCTTTGAGTACTAAAACAGAATCTAGAAAAACTCAGGAAATGTCTCCTGGCTTTCCTGGGAACTCAGTCAGGCTTGCTGGTGCAATTTGAGTCTTACCCAATACAGAAAACACTGCATATGAGAACGAGGATCCCACGGACCAGGGACTCCACCACACTTCACCTTTAAGAACTTTCAATTAATTCTATTTCTATTACAATTGATTCAAATTTACTTGTACATTTTTTTTCATTTTGCAGAAGGCACAGTAAACATTGAGTTTTATCCATTAATATTTTATGTAAGAATAATGAGGAACTTGGAAGAAACACTGGATGACTTAAGAACCTCAGTGCAACTCAGTGGAACAACACAATACTCCAGTGTCTCATTGGTCATATATTTGGGTCTTGGTCATTTAAGCATTTAAAGAGAAATTGGAGCAAATTAACTAAGCTGCCTTTTTGAAGTGCTGCCTAAAACCCCAATTAGTCAGGAAAGGTGAGAGCTGGAGGTATTTAACATATTTTAATTTCTTGGGAAGGCTGATTTGTCAAAACTCTTTGTGATTCATGCATTTTTTAATGATAAATCTTCTAAAGGAAAGATTTCTTGGACGGGAAATTGTATTGCTGCTCAAACAAGAGGAAAGGTTTGTGAGATGCAAACCCAGAAGGTTTAGTTCATGACTAACTCTCAGTAAGGCTTGACTGTACATCCTCTTCTAACCACAACAATTCCATGCAAACATCTGTGGGCAGTGTCATTTGAATAGAAATTGCTGGGATCCAGAGCTACTTGAGCTCATTTTCACATGAAAAGATTATGAGCTGATAATCTGAGCAACTCAGTTAACAGAGCCACCTTTGTAGCAGAGGCAGCCACCTGGCAGGGACCTGATGGTGTACCTCATTTAGCCTACAGACTTCCCCTTCATACAGAGGGAAATCATCAAAAATTTCAATAGAAATCAGCAGATAAACTTTGGATGTTTATCACCAAATGCCAATTGTCTTGATGACAAAGACTACAGACGGAACAATCTTATGTGTATGTTTCACCTAACAGTCACACAACAGAGAAAACAACTGCCTTTTTTTTTTTTTTTTTTTTTTTTTTGTAGTCCATATCAGGGATGTAATGCTCTCTGATGCAGAAAAGTGTGTGAAAGTAATTCTGCATCCTAATAGCACCAAGCCACATTGAAGCTCAGGAAAAATATATATGTATACGTATCATTTAGAGGCAAAGAAACGCGAAGGTCACCGTATATGGAAGTTTACAACTTAGAAGTTCAGAAAAGGGAAATATAGCAGATAAAGACAATAAACAAAGTACCATGTGAGAAATGTAACTAAAGATGAAGCTACACCAGAATCATAATATAACATGTTCAATAAGAAATGTGTTAAATAATTTCCAATTTTGATCACTTCCTTAAGCATCTCTTACATCAACTCTTAAGAGCAATTGGAGGACAGTGCTTACCTATTCCAGGTATCTTAGCAAACTATAATTCCACCATTCTTTGATCATTAATTCACATCAAAAGTCCTTCTTCTCAACAAGACTTCCTTTCCTTTTATTTGATGCAGATGTTTAAATCAATACATCTAAAAGTAGCTGTTTAAAAAATACCAAGGAACTGCCAAGAAGAACTAAAAAGTACTTATGTATGTGACTAATATCATCAAAGAACTCAGAGAGATACGTGTAGAGATAATGACATTGTTACAAACTGACATTTCTGGAGAAATAGACTGACATGGTCTTGATGCTGCTGAGGTTAGTTTTCTTCGTTCCGAAAAATACAGCTTCTCTGTAAATCCTTTATTCCCACTAGAGAAAAAGCAAAATAAATATTTCTAAAATCAGTATTCATTCAAATGCTAGGCGATGGAACAAAGTTAAATCAATTCCTGAAAATTTAACAAATATTGAGCTGAAGAGAAAAAGAGGACAAGCTTTCAGCTGGTACTTCCAATATTCCTACTGACATCCACATTACTCAGCGGGTGCTAGAAGCAGCTCAGAAGCCCACAAATGACAGGACACTAGGAACCAGCACAGCACCAAAGGAGGTTCAGAGTGGACATTAGGAATAATTTATTTATGGTATGGGTGGTCAGACACTGAGAGAGGCTTCCTACAGAGGTGGTTGATGCCCTGTGCCAAACCCACACTTATGGCAAAAGGTAAAGCTAGAAGACAAGAGTAGTAAAGCACTATGAATAGTAAGGAACAGTCCTTCAAGAAAAGTGGAGGAAAAAAACCACCACATTTCCTTTTATGATGTACCAC